CTCCTCCCTACATGTTTTTACAAACCAACAGGTAGATGAACATTCAGAAACAAAAGCACCTGATGTGTACTTAAGACTGCAGACTGTTGCTTCTCTAAACTTCCTATGTCACAGGAGCCGTCTGCTCACCTCATCAGCTGTGGCCTCCTTCTCTCCTTCCTTCTCTGCTTCCTCTTGCTCTTCCTCTGCAGGACTCTCCTCTCCATCACTCTTCTTCTCTTCTGGAGTTGACAGAACAGAGACGCAATCAGACAAACAGTGACAAACAGCAGGAGACCGCAGAGTCACTGACATCTAGACAGCGTAACAACCTGGGCTGCTCTTCTCTTCAGCCTCAGCTTCAGCCTCTTCCTCCTCCTCCTCCTCCTCCTCCTCTTCCTGCTCCTTTACATCAGGCTGAGGTTCATCTGTCTTCTTGTATTCTGCCGGCGTCACTGGGCTCTTCTTCTGCAGAACAAACAGTATCATGGTTCAGTTTAGTTTAGTTTGAATTTACAGACAAATCTGCAGCTCAGGCCTCTCGAGGTTTGTTATGTCAAATCCACCTCAGCAGAGTAAAGAAACAAAAAGCAACAAGACTAAAGACACCACCAACCCTGTAGTAACAACAAATTCTTTCCTTCATCTCCTCACACAACTCATCTGTGTTTTTCTCTTGTCCACGTTCAGTGTCGTGCACACAGTGATACCAAACAGCAAAATGAGCAGTTTTATCCATTTAAACAGGCTGAATGAATGAACACACCTGTGATACTTACTCACTACAGTCTACCAATGCATCACCACTTGTAACAGGCACTAACCAGTGTGTTCAGACCAGTTTAGCTCTTTTGCGTTTGATCCTTTGGCAAAACAGCTTCAATTCCAAACTTGTCAGTAAGAACAGAGTGCTGTATCGATAACGTGGCTATGAACACTTTAAGCCACGTCTGTGGCTGGGCTGAGTACTCATGTTTTTATAGATACTGAATCCAATTTCTCATTGATACTAAATACTATCAAATAATGCACATTCACCCTCCACCATTTTCTTGGTCTAATAATACCAAGTGTGTAATTTATCAAATGTTACCACAGCAGGTCATGTCCACGTCCCAGGCCTTAACGCTCAGCTCTGATTGTATTGTGTTGATGCTTCCCGTCCGTGTGTGTCACTGCCATGTACCTGGCTGAGCTCCTAAACTGCCACTCGTGCACAGATGTAACTGAAATTTGAGCCATGTGCACACAAGAATAACAACTAGGTCGTGTGTGTGACGGTCAAATGGCCCAGTTTCCTCCCAAACCACTGGGTTACGATATGTTCCTCCCAGTTTGTCCTGATCAGAAGCTTCTCCATGAACGTCCACCACATGTGAAACGTCCTGGTCTCTCCACTGATCCTGTCGTCACTGTCCTCCATGTTATTCGTTACTGGTCTGTGAATGATGACAGGCTGTATGTGCAGAGGAGGAGACGTTAAAATGACCACAAGGATTCTAATCTGACCGTTCTAACGGCGCTTGCACAGTCAGAGGTCAGAAAGGAATCGGATCTAGGAGCACATACGCAGGTGGCCCAGATCTGGTCTGAGGACACCTGGTCTGGTCTGTTCACACTGCTGTGGACACATCAGGTCTGGAAAACTTCAGCTGGGATATGGACACAGCTAAAAAGTAGAGCCCGAGGCATGTACACCACTATATGCTAAAAATCCCACAACACAACACCTTGCATCTATGACAGTTGTCAACATATCAACTGCTCACAACAGAGTGTTTGAATGAGAGTGGCTTCAGACACAGCTGGGTCTCTCCCTCCACACTCTGGTTACACCATGTCAGCACAAAAACAGACACAGGAGCGGCAGCAGCACAGAAAAACACTCTAGATGTGAAGCTACTGAAGCAGCAGCACTAAGAGTCACCAGGCCTGAGGAGGCAGTGGCAGGGCGGTTTAGACGTCCAGCTTCATTAAACTCTTCCTGTAAGCTGGTGAGACTCAACTGATCCTGAGCTGATCCTGCCGACGACCTCTGTGGACAGTCACACACACCAGACTGGGACATGAGCACTGACAACAGGTTGCATGAGGAGTTATGATGCAATCCAGAATATCTTGTGGAGAGAAACCACTTCCTGTTACTGACTTCTGAATTTTATTGTTCCTTGAGGGAAAACACACTGATGATGTTACTTGATCTGTCCATGCGATTGTGTGTCTGTTACCTTGCCGGTGCAGCAGAAGACCACGATAAGCACGAGCGGCAGAGCCACAGTGAGGACGTAGATGACCCAGAGCCACGGCCGCTCCTCTGCAGCATTCAGCATCTGAGCTACCAGACCAGGCTGCAACATAAACACATGACAAAGTATGTTATTCATACCGTTATGCAAGAAAACAATGATTCTGCTGTTGCAGTGCTTATTGTTGTGAGCAGCAGGTGAAGGTTGTGTTCACATCTGTCACCTCTGTCTTCTTGAGAACAGGTCAAGATGTTGCATGCTACAAATATCATGGAGTAAGGCGACGGGGTATTTGAGTGTCTCAGTGCAGTAGCAATGAACAGATCTTCCTGCTGCACACACGAATTGACAATCTATTTCTGTCCCATAAGCAGAAACGCTGCTTCCTCTGCAGCTCAAGTTCAACACAAGCATCACGGCCAGAGAACCTCTGACTGCTTTTACTGCAGCGTGTATCTGCTTGTCAAGTGGTGATGTAGCATTCTGCTTCTGGGCCCAAACTTCAGTTCGTTCTCCTGCTCTCCACATGCCACAGTGTTGTTTTCCCCATTGTTTCAACAGATCAGAACGAAAAATCTTGGATCAGTTGTCATTTTTTACCACTTTCTTTGGAATGAGAGGGAGAGAAAGAAATGGCCACAGTTGATTAGATAAGTCACAGTACTCTTAAATTAATGAACTAAAACAAAAGTGCAGTGTTTTGCTGCCTTGTAACGTAGCTAGGTAGCAAGAAGCTGATGTAAACACTACACACTGACATTATATGCTGATGAAAGTAACGGTAAAAGCTGGGAGTTACTAAAAACAGTTAGACATGTAACTTGACAGAGGCTATATACTGGAATAAGTTTACTACTATGTGTAATAAAGTTGGGTTATTACACTACCAGGCGGAATGGCAACTCTGACTACTCCACTGGAGTTGAAAGAAAGGTGTCACTTTTTTACTCTCAACGATGCCTCGCTAATAAAAGGTATTAATGTGTTGAGGGTGACGAGGTGTGCCATTTGGGTCTGTGGGAGTTTGGACCCTGAAGTTAACGGTACACCCACGGCTGTGGAGCCTGGAGGCGACCGATGATTGACATCCCCAACTACAAGGGTAAGCGGATAGCATGAAAAAGCACTGCATACGTTTCATAGCGTAGACAAGTGCTATACACAGCTAAGCCCGCTGACTGCTGAGCGCGGGCTTCGACAATCCTACATCAAGTTGATGTGAAAATGGTGCCTCAGAAACTGTTTCTCTGTCGATACTGGACAAACGTATCCGAGCAGATTTCTGGCTTAAAGGAACAACTGCATTTTTATGTTTAACTGTTATTTAATATTAGACGTTATCAGTGAGGTGTTTTTAATGTTGTGATGTGATTCAAACTTTCTATTTATTTATCAAATTAACAGTCAACTTTATTTTTGGACAGCCAAAATATTTTAGGTCAAATAATTTTGCTTCAAAGTATTTGTCAAGATAAGATCTGTCAACACTGTCACATTTGATATGCCCATTTTGTCAAATGAAATTGTAAATATTTAAATAGTTTTGTAAGATTTGAATACATTTTGTAAAAATATATCACCGTTATCAAGTTGTGGTCAAGCCTTTCTTTTTCTAATATTTCATCAAAAATGTTTTTATTTGTTTTTTGTTGATATTGAATTCATCTATACTTTTCACAATTAATCAAACTGGTTTTCTTTGTTAGTATCTTTAATACCCGTGTACCTTAAACCTGCTCACTCTGAGGTGGAACTTTCAAGACATTTAGCAGAATCCACCTTCTCTGTTCAGTGACAGTAATGCAGATTTGGCCTGAACCCACCTCAGCAGCGCCCTCTGCCGCCTTCTTCAGCCCCCAGCCATCGTTGGCCCAGCGGTCGGCAACACTGCGGTCATTGGTGATGAAGAAGTTGTCGAAGAAGATGTCGGAGGTCATGGACCACAGCTCGAGTCCCACTGCACTGAACGAACTCATCCTGAATGGGTGCAGATCCTCAAAGTATGCCGGGTTGGGGATCTTCCTTGGCTTCCAGATGCCCTGAAAACAGAATATACAAGGTCAGGATCCTTCACAGGAAACTCACTACACCAGCACTGAGTGTGGTTGTTGCTCTTCTCCAAACACAGCTGCATGTCAGCTTCTACATGTGGGCAGGGTTCCATCTGACCTGGTAGTTTGGGTTGTCGATCATGGGAGGCTTCCACTTGCCCTTGTAGTTGGGGTTGTCAATCACCGGTCGCTTCCAGGCTCCACAGCCAGGGGCGGTCTCACAGGCGGGGTTAGGGACCTGAGGAGGCTCCCACTCACCATCCATGTCCTCATCCCTGACCAGGAAACAAGGAAGGACCGTTATCGGACCAGGAAAGCAGGGCGGCAACTTTCTTGATGAGCTGTCAGCGTCTTCTGATCTCGATATCAAAGTAAACATGCTCAATACAACTCAACACATTCTGTAAGAGACCTCGGAACAGAACAGATGGTGCAGAGCTAATTTTATTCATCTAACAAAACTAACCGAGCACCTGAACATCACTTAGAGCAGGGGTCCTCAACCTGTTTTGAGTGCCAGACCCCTTTTGATAGGAGGACCTTCTTCAGGGCTCCACTCCCCAAGAGAAGCTACTGGCTTTACTGGTATTTGAAAAAGGGTTTCAATTTTTACATTTATTTTGCACAAACAATAAAAGATCAAATGTTTATGTGCAGGGAGAGGAAACTGGCTTCCCTGATTATCTGGAAAAGAAAAAACATAACAGATAAAACAAATGCTATCAAACATAAAAACAGTGTATCCTAACTATACCAAACTCTTCCATGGGGACCCTGCAGCATCAATGATTTCTGAGCAACACTGTGTGAGTGTTTGCACATACCAGTCATCAGGTTTGACAGCGTCAGGATCACCGATATACTCCGGCTCGTCGTCCAACCAGCCATCTGGTTTCACAGCGCCTTCATCTGGAATCTGAGCAGGAGCGTCCTCATCCCTGTGCACACACCCAACATACAGGTTATAGATAGTAGCTACATAAAAAAATATTAGTCACAATCAGTCAAGACATTTTTTCAAGCAGAGGTTCAAAACAATTTCTGGTTCTAGCTTCTTAAACTGAGGCTGAGAATGTCATTTATGTTGTCTACCAGAAGTCACTGATCTCTGCTCCATTTACATTAGTCCACAAAACAACATGTTGGAGCCGTTTGCTGGAAACAGACACCTCCCATGTTTCCTGAGGAGGAAACCTGCCCCCTAGTGCAGCGGTGGGGGGGGAGAATGACACACACACATACTGATCACCAGCCTGTTCCCTTAAAGCACAACTGTTCAGCAGTTCACTGGCAGCTCTCACATACTGGCCTTTTTTGATTTCCATTAAAACCAGTGGTGTGTACTGACCAGTCTTCAGGCTTGACAGCATCAGGGTCCTGGATCTTGGGCCTCTCGTCCCAGTCCTCAGGCTTGTGGTCATCAGGATCCTCGACCTCAGCAGGGGGGTTCACAGGGGGTGTCATGTCTGTCAGAAGGCTGCCACTGTTCACCACTGTCTGATCCACCAGCACTTCAAAAGTGTTGTCAGGGTTCACCACTGGGGGCGACACAAAGCAGTTACACACCTGGACCTGTCAGTGCGTGTTACCCAGCGTGTACGGATGTGTGTACCTTACCCAGCGTGTACAGGTGTGTCTTCTTGTCAGTATAGTACGTCTTCAGGTCGGCGTCAGGTTTCTTGGCATGCTTCTCTTCGTACTCTCCAGTTTTAGGGTTTTTGTGTCTGAAGATGAAGTGCAGTTTGTAATCCTCTCCACATTTGTCGGGTCCAAACATGATGGTGTACGGGGTTTTATCCACAAATTGCTCCTGAAGAAACAAGGTTCAGACTGTTTGTGATTTTCTATGCTGAATAGTGATGTTCTTGATCTCTCACAAGAAGATTATTATTAATTATTATGCAACGATTTGTCCTAATTAATATTCAGTGGGTTACTGATGCATCATGTCAGCTTTGGCTGAACCCTGGAACAAGAATGTTTTTTGTTCAGACTGTTTACAGCAGGCATTCATTGTGAAGCTCACAGTACAATCTGAAGACAAGGAGGATCACTGCTTCCAAAAATCTCGTCACTTAGTGCCTGACCTTTGTTCAAGCTTCAGGTAGTGTCAAGTCAGTGCACTTACACTGGAAAGTGACAAGTTCTCTGCTAATCCAAGATGCCAACACGCAAACTAAACACTGAACGTTCCACGGTGTTGTCGAAGGAAACCACCATCTGACAATGCAACACACACTGGAAACCGGGGACTACTCACAGCTGCAGAATGTCTTTACTCTTTATTCAGAGTCTAAATAATAAAGCTGCAGTTTATAGATGTGCATACATGCACATCTTAGAGTACAGACTGTCTGGTGGATGGGGTTACAAACAAATGCATCTTCATGACCCATTTTCACAGTGTTGTTGTAACTTGTGCAGCTGCAGCAAACACCCCCCAGGGAGGGGCAGAATGAGTGAAGACAGGGTTAATGAATGTCACAGGGCTGGGAGAGAATCTGTACTGAAGCCCTCCAAGATTTCAGTTCAGCACAGTGTGCACATCTGCTCACTGCTGCTGACATCAACATGAACAAGTGTGTATCAGAAACGGATACACTAGGGAAAACGGCGTTTCTGAATAGGTCACATTTAAGGCCTTGTTTTACATACACACTTGCAAAAAGTATAAAAGATAAAGACAAGTAAGGCGAGTATTGGTAGTGATTATAGAATTGTTACTCTGCCAGTAGTTCTACAGTGTATAACGTCCACACTGCGTTGCCTCTCGTGCCACAACACCGAGTGTCCTCTGCTCAATTCTTTAATAAAATACAGTAATAACCCATAGATATGTGTATAACGAGCAATCAGACTGACCAGGTTCAGTTGGGGAGTCTGAGTCAGCAGCTTGATGTAGGCGCCGCCACAGTCGATACCTGACTGGAAGTTCACCTCGTACCTGGACAAACCACCCACACAGAGACAAGCATGATGAAAAGGCCTGACATACACACAGTGGCTAAGGGAGCCACCATGGAGATGGCCGTGTTAGAAAGAAAACGTGTTCTTACTGGATGATAAGGGGTTTGGTGTCGAAGACGAAAGGTCGCAGCAGCATGGCTGAGATGGCGTGATGTTTGGCTTTGGACTTCAGAACCAGACCTTTATCGCCAGGCAGTTTACTGTCCTTCAGGTCTTCCACCGCCCATTTACCTGTCAATGAGATCATCATCACTAACCTGTCAACACAACATCATGTGTCAGCCACAGCAGCCTGAGGACACACTGCTACCAAAGTCAGTCAGGTGTGTGGCCAGGTGTCTCAGTCCTGCACCAACCGGGCTCAGCTGTCATCAGACTGGGCAGATGCTGCAGTTACAGACTGGGTCCATTCATTACAAGGTAACATGTTCAGTATTTAGGGCTGCTTTATGAAAACTGGTTCCATGTTGTTAGAATACCTGGATTCCTAAAATCAATGCCCCGTTGAATCTTTCATGTTCTGTGTTTAGCTAACCTCTGTGCCACATGTACACACACACACACACAAAAAGACAAACTAAACAGCATAAACCAAGATCTGTGTCCCCATAACACCATTCTGCCTAAAAGCAAAACTCCCATGCTAGTATGACCTTTATAATATGATCCCGTGACCATGAAACCCTCCCCCAAGCATTTGGAATAACCCTGATGTTATTAGTGGCTTGAATGTTATTCAAGAAAAATGATATTTCACCTTTTTATTCAGGATCTAGCTCAGTAACTTTAAGATGCATCAAATCTGCTGACACCTACTGAATCAGCATAGTTTCAGCTAGAATTAGATCTTTGTTGAACGCCTGTAGCATCATTTGTTGTCTCACAGTAGCCAGTTTTCTCTGACCCCGCTAAGTGTGAACATTCTGGATCAGCAGATCCAGAACACAGACTGTAGTGTGTGGTAGATGTTATCTTGCTATTTTTGTCCGGGCATTGTGTATGGAGTTAGGAGCAAACATACTGAAACCGGCCCTCTCTCACAGTGGTGAAAAATCATTTTAAAAACTCCCTGATCCAGATGAGGATCTGGATGAGCTGGAATAGACCGTTCTGTGGGCCGTACCCTACCTGTCCAAAACCTTTCATCCAAATTCATTCATTACTTTCTGAGTTATGCTGTGAACAATCCAACAACCTCAACTGTGGCAGAGGCAACAGCTGCTTGATAACTCAAATGTTGTCCTAACAACAAACATGGCTGACCGGCTGAAACATTCCAAAGCCAACTACAAATTATAGTATCTGTGGAAAAAGGAACAGTCCTGGATTTAACTGCTGCTGCAGAGTCCAACAGGTTGAAGTCAGCCCTGTGCTGCTGCTGGTAACGTGAGAAGTGCGACTGCTCGGTCGAGAGCGTGCCGCCACTGTCACACCGTGTTCTCTGAGCGTCAGACTCTGGGACCTGCAGCAATGCAACAACCTGTTCTCTTGGAGCTGAAATAAAAATACACTATACATCAGAAAAACCTACATAAAATACAACATAACTAGGAGGATGCTTCCATCACGTTCAACGCCAAAGAGACAAAATGGGATTTAAATGTAGCTGGGGTTCGAGCGGTGGACTGCTCCACAGTTTAGGGACCCTCACAGCGAGGGCACAATCCCCTCTGAGCTTCAGTCTAGACCTTGGAACTAAAGCACCTGGTCAGCGGATCTCTCTGCCCTGCATAGTGCATGTGGCTTTAAAAGCTTACAGAGAGAGAGAGAGAGAGAAGCTGGTGCCAACCCACGGAGACTTGAAAACAAACACCACCACCTTAAAATCAATCCTGTAATGAACCGGGAGCCACTGAGGAGATACTAATATGGGGGATGTATGATTATTTACAAAGGGCGGCTCAATGACGAGAGCCGACTGGCTGATTTCTGTGTACAGAGCAATGAGAGCATTTGTGCTGAAGCCCCGCATGACCTCAGCTCAGCACGCTGTCCAGCGGGTTAGTCGGAGACTTCATGACTGGAGTGAAATGAACAGACTCGATAAGGGTTGGGGGAAAGTGTTCCGAATCAAACCACTTCCCTAACAATGTGAAACACTGTCTACATGGCAGCGTGTCGCAACTCTACGTGGTGTGTGGATCTGTACCCACCATCATACTTGGCGATCTCTTCATCGGTGTCATCCTTCTTGGCGCTGGACAGCACCCAACTGAAACACACACACACACACACACACGGGGTTTAGTTTCCAACACATCAGATCAAAGGTCAGAGCCTGGTCACAAAGTCTCGCCTCTTCAAAAACACGCCAAAAAAAAAAAAAAAAAAAAAAAAAAAAAAAAAAAAAAAAAACACCAAA